TTTTCTGATTTTCTTTTTTCCGTCATGTTAAGCTAGGTTAACTCTGTACTATGGAATGATGAACTACATAATATGATTTTTATTTCTTAGTTTTACATTCTTGACAATAAAAATACATTTTGACTATCTGAACGGTTTAAATGAATTTATTTTCTCCACGATTATTGTGCGCGTTAATTGTGTGATTGTAGTGACATGTTTCATGCATTCGAAAGAAAAGAAATATGTTCAACGGGGTATAAATCATCATAGGGTCCGACATTGATATAAATCTATCGTTATGCCTTGTGTGAATTTTTAAGTGTTCATAAAAATTTATGTATTCTTATATGTTTGCATCCATCATAGAGATATAGTCGGATCACATATAAGAATATATTTGATTTTACTCGAGAGAGACTGTTAAATAATTTAAGAGCATTGATTTGTCAATTTTTTTAATCGTGTGTCAAAGTGTAAAATTAGGTTTAAAAGGATTATTATTTAGGGATTCGTGATCCTAATACATTCATTACATATTCGATAACTTCAAATTACATTCAACGCTATTTGAATTTAATTTAGTTAAATCATTTATAATTGCATACTTAGTATTATTTTAGTTATAATTTCATCACAATAAACAAGCAATTCTATTCTAGTTTCGGTTAAGATCAATGTAATGAGGATTGAATTAATCAATTTTCGTGGGACGATACTGAAGCTCAAAAAATTCACTTTATTAACGAATCGTTCGCTTGCAGTGATTTTAATCCGAAATATATTTTCGTGAACAAAAATCGATAAAATCAAATTATTATGTTTAGCCAATGAAAGCCAAGCAAATAAATTTTACGAAACAATGTGAGACTGCATTAAAATTATATTAATTTTTACTATACCGGCTTTCTAAAGTAAGTGAAATGTCCCGTCTTCTTTTTGGGAGGTGGAATTTTACGAGACTTTTTTCCTTTGATTGTCAAAATCTTAATTATGTCTCGATTCCACAGTTAATTAGACCGACATTCTCACCTCTCTCTCTTTACCAAATGCGTGGTGCTTTTACAAAACATTAGGGCCATGTTTCACATATTACGATACAGTATGTTGCATGTACCAAGAGCCGAAAGTGCAAAAATTGAACTTGAAATAAACATGCATAAAATTGTACAAAGATTCAGTCCCCAATTTTCGACAGGCCTGCTGCAAAATCGAGAAAAAAAAGTTCAATATTCTCTTTATCAACTCACTATCACTATGGTATTCGGTGAACCGACCTCCAAAATTCAATGCTGTACAGTCATAAATGATTAATTATTGTAAAATGCTGCAAGTACAGGGAATAACTCACATATTTTTAACAGGAATTTGAATGGTAGCATCATGTCCGTCCGTCGGTCCGTGTGTTGTTTTCTCTCTTCCCATTTTGAATATATTCCATCCATTTCAAATTCAGGTACTCATTCTGTATAATTTTTCTGTACTTATAACAATATTCTTAATTATTTATGTTGTTATTTAACTTGTATTTAAAGAAGATGGAAATCTAATTCACAAAACAATATTAGACTCCACTAATCATGTGATAAATAAAAATACTAAAGTAAACTTTTAATGAAGTAAAGATGCATGCATTCAATTAAGAAACTAGTCGTGAGCTGAATTTATCATGTAAAGTATGTGATCGATTCCCTCGTCTTCTTCACTTGATTAAAAGTGATACGTAGATAGATAAATTTTCACACAAAAAAAAAAAAAAATTAAAATGAATTTGGGACAACTTGGGTTGCCCCCCCTCTTTGCCCTTGTATATAAATGATTGAAAATATCTTGTTAGAACAATTTAGTTGAGTGTCTTGTACATGCTCTTAGGTGAGTCGATGGGGGATGTAAATAGTATAGATACAATGTAAGTTGAAATTTTGAAAAAATTAGGTATGAAGACATGTATAATGAAAAAAACAAAAAGATTGAAACTTCGCGACGAGAAATTTAAACGGATTAAGAAAGCTCTTATGGGACTATTTCATACTCCCTCCGTCCCAATTATATAGGCTTGTTTCGTTTTTCACACGGATTAAGAAATTTTTTTTAATGTCATTGAAAAATTAATTTTTGTCAAGATATTT